CTCTGACTCACCAGCCCCCACTCCTCCCCAGCGCTGGGGAGGGAACCCAAGAGTCCTGGTACCCAGCTCCCCTCCCCCCACTGACTCATCAGCCCCCTCTTGCCTCCCAGAGCTGGGGAGAGAACCCAGGAGTCCTGGCTTCCCTTGCATATGAGTGGGAAAGGCCTGATCCTGGTGCAAGGATGTAGGTCATGGCTGTGGGAGGGGCAGCTAATCCAGGAGTAAGGCGGCAGCACTGCCAGGCACTGGGGGTGGAACCAGATTACGGAGATATCGGACCCTGGTGCCAGCCCTGCCTCTGACGCCTGGGTTCCTCAGGACACCTTGGGAAGCTGTCATTTAACACCCAGATGCCTCGGTCCTTTGAGGCCTTTGGGAGGGGCTCCCTCCAGACAGGTGCAGGGACCTGGCCCATGGTATGATATTCTCCCCCTGCCCTGTCTCTGCGTTGGGTGCCAGGGATAGGCTGGAACCTGGCAGCAGCTGTCAGGCATGTTTGGTCAGAGCGTTCTGGAGTTTATTGCCCCAGAGATAAGGGCAGGAGGCTAGAGAAGAGGGGGCCAAGGGCTGCCTGGCTCCACCACTCCTGCCAGTGCCCCTCACTCCCAATCCGCAGCCCCTTGGCTCTGAGGCTGTTTGGGATAGTGGGTCTCTCCTGGCGTGGGGGTGGGTCAGAAAGAGGAACTGGAAGCTGCGTAGCTCAGCAGGCAGACTGCAGAAGCTGCTCTGAGGAGCAGAGCAGATGTGGGGGGAGGGCTGGGATTGGGGGAGCAAAGGGATCCCAGCCCTAAGTTTTTCTTTACAAACACTTTCAGTCCCAGCCCTAGGGAGTCCCACACTCTGCATTCCGTCCCTGGTGCAGAGATGCAGCCACCTCTTGGGGGAGCGGAGAAGTTGTACAGAAACCTATGTTGAGGAGGGAGGGGGGCCCAACGCTGTCCCATCCCCTTGGGGCAGTGCTGTCCCTTCCTGAGGCCATAGAGAGCCCTAAGTTTTTCTTTACAAACACTTTCAGTCCCAGCCCTAGGGAGTCCCACACTCTGCATTCCGTCCCTGGTGCAGAGATGCAGCCACCTCTTGGGGGAGCGGAGAAGTTGTACAGAAACCTATGTTGAGGAGGGAGGGGGGCCCAACGCTGTCCCATCCCCTTGGGGCAGTGCTGTCCCTTCCTGAGGCCATAGAGAGGGCTCAGGATTAGTGACATCTGGCGCAGTGCTTGACCGCAGGTGA